TTAATTGGTAATTGACAAAAGAAGACGTTACATTTTGCACTAGCGCTTTCACTGTATTAGATCTTCAGGTGATAGTAGCGGACATAATTGAGTGACGTCACAAATTGTCATTCCGGTATATACATGTCTATATATCATATTTTGGATTTATATCAACAGCTGGGTGCGGGGGTTAATGCCACGCTTTGTGGCTCATTGTTTTCCTTCTTCTGAAATCACAGCGAAATATCTTAATTAAAGCATTTCATGAAAATTGAATTTGACAAATTTTACAAATGACAGTTCATACCAAAATATTGGTCCATATATCTCCCCATTGAAATGCACTCTGATCCGTAATTTCGGAAGCCGACCAATGCAAAAATATATTTGTTTATCTCATGTATTTTAACCACAATATCGACATAGAAATTAGTCTCTTGTGTATTTTGTCCAGGAGAAAATCGAATATTATTATATAGCATTACACCACGACAACTTTGTAAATATTTGATAGTTTAATGGGGCGTTCAATGATTGGTTTCGACATCCGTCGATATCTGCCGCTACACTGGTGTCGTTTACCTATTGCCGAAAATGTAGCAACTATGTGTGACAACTGTTCAGATTAAAACAGAAAACATGGTTTGTGTTCGAACACTGGTCAGGCGAGACTAATACGTATATGTAACTTTTAGTCCCCGAGGTTTCCAACGAAGTATGCAAGTAACGATGAGCTATGCCATACCACTGCGTACGTCGTTCGTCATCTGTCATCCGTCAACTTTTCCTACAAATCGCTACAAGTGATGAAGCATCCTTGGGGGAAAGTAACAGATTTTGTATAAACAGGTGGTCTCGTTGGTTCATTAAAGATCCTTCTTCTATATTGTGTAGATTTCCTCAGTCGCTTCTTGGTTTTACAATTAATGTATTTAGCACCACTGTCGAGTCTGTATGATGCGTTCTCTAATCCTTAATTTATATAAAAAGGTGCTATTTACTCGTGTGTCATTTGAATAATCTCTCTGCCATGTATAACGTAATTTTCCCCTATAGTTAGCAATTTAACGAACCTATGTATTTAGCGTAATTTTGATAATAGCCCAATATTTACATTTGGCCGTCCCATTACAACAGTTCTAGACGGGCAGTGTTATGATGATACTGCAACTGGTTCACATTGTATTGTGACGTCACAATGCTCTAACCAGCCGTTCCATTTACCGGCAGTTTCTTTTTTAACTCCATAGTGTAAGATGAATATTTCGCTCAATATTACCGGATACCTAATCAAAATTGTCAAAAATGTTGTAAATATAAATAATGAAGTACCATCATAGTCTATACAATCACAGGGAACCTTCCGGCATATCCTCCACTAGGTTTCATGGGATTTGGCAGAAAGTCACTTTAGATTATATTGAATCTTATTATATCAAGGGAAGAAACTTAATTGCTTAAAATGAGTCATGCGGTTTTGTCAAGGTAACAACTCATTTTTAGACCTGATTAATTAATCATGTGTTCATATGTATACTAAAACACCGTGACAGAATGTCCTATCCCCAAAGTAAACAGTTCTCTCCCCTGGACTGAGAGACGGCTCGCCGCCAAACTGTAAAATAGATACGGAAAGGCTTTTTGATTTCAATAAACACGTCATAGGAGAATACATATACGTTATTACATTATGTGATTTTATCCTCGGTAGATATGTTGGGCCAGACTCTCTCGCGTATACAGAACTAGTGGTTGCTGTTCCAATGTTTGCTGGAAATGACAGTCTCCCTTGGGAAATAAAGAGTGTGATAACACGTTTTATGTTTACATTAAAAACAACAACTGCTGTGGATCTGCACGTTTTTAGGCGTCGCACCTGTCACTACACACAGGATATGGTTTGACACAATTAATTATACATCACTTCTTTTTATTGACTCGATCCAACTTTTCCGTAAACTAAGGGTCACATCAGTGCAACGACAGAAATGTACTTTGTACCATTCCATGTAATATGCGAAAAAGATATTTCCAAAATAGTATGTTCCTCTCCTAGATGCAAGTCCTTCTCCTCTTTCACAAGGTTGTCTTATGCTCTTTTGCTTTTTAACTGAAAACACAATTCAAATCTTGATCCAAGTTATCTGTCTGCCATAATAAACATCCTTTTTATATAGGTTCTACTTAAGAACCATGTTCTCTACTTGTCGGTCGTAATGTTCTTATCTTCAGATTTAAGGATTTGTTTTTCTTAATGAGATTAAAGTACGATATTTTCTATTGGCAGATTAAACAACGACTCTTTCTATTGGCCAGATTAAACAACGACTTTTTCTATTGGCAGATTAAAGAACGATGTTTTCTATTGGCCTGATTTAAGAACGATTTTTTTATTGGCCAGATTAAATAACGGTGCTTTCTATTGGCCAGATTGAAGGACGTTTTCTGTTCGTCAGATTTCTATATTAAAGATCCATGCTATCTATTGATCGTGATTTGTAATGATCATGGTTGTTATGGGCCAGTTTGAAAAACGATGGTTTCTGTTAGTGAGACTAAATCAAATTGTTTTCGACTGGATAATTCAAAGGATGATATTTTCTATTGGTTACATAAAAGCACAATGTTTTCTTCTCGATCAGATTAACTAGCAATAATATCTATTGATGCGACTAAAGAACGAAGTTTTCTGTCTGTCAGATTTTAAAAAAAGGTATCTCAATGGATTCTGTTTAAGAACAATATTTCCGTTTTCTGATGATGATAAAGTAAAGTATTTACTGGTGTCAGAATAATATTGATTGTTTTTTCCTTCTTTGTCCAAAACGATGTTTTATTGAACGGTAATAGCGTGTTTATAGTCCGACAACAGAACGACTTTCCACTGGTTTGGTTTAAGAACGACATTTGTATAGCGTCTGTTGAAGACTGGTGTTTTCTTTGATCCAATAAAAAAATGGTATTTTCCATTTCCCGTTGGCTTGGGATTAAAACGTAACTTTCTAATGGTCACAATGAAGTTACATATGATCCCATTGAAAACGACGTTACGCTATTGACCCAATTTGAGAGGATTATTTCATGCCTAATATTATTGTTTTTAACATAATTATAAATAGGGTTTATTCTTTAAATTTTGTTTTATTCGTCTAAACAAAATAATTGTGATTTTTTGTCGTTTTATGTACAGACAGAGTTTCTTGTCACTCTTCCTCGTCGAGTCCTGAACTAATACCAAAGGTTACTCGGTCAAGTAGCATCATTCCTTCATACCAGTATCAGAGACAGTAACCTGCCCTTTACGACGCTAGATATAGACATATCGACCTCAGTGAGGTGGTACGAATCTTTGATGTTTTTTACATACTGGTTACCATTCATATTAAGGTTTAAAGTTACGTATACAAAAGACATTGTCGTCTTCGCTCAATATTTATTCGACTGTCTAGCACATATCTGCAAGACAACCAAAGTTTTAATTGATATTAGTGTTTTGCATGTAGGGTCTTCACCTTTTCGGCTATGTGACGTAGTTCTTTGGAACATCACCCGCATTTATATTCGAAATACCAATATTGGATTCGCGTCAAACAGAGAAGGGCAGACCGGAATGTTAGGCTAGTTCGAACAACGATATGGTTTTAATAATCTCGACGCTATCCCAATAGTTATTGCAATATTTGTGAACCATTCCAACAATGCCGCATCTTATTGACGTCTAATAGTTATTGGGCGCTGCTAGGCGAAGCTGTACAGGTAAACATACAGGTGGTAAGAGAGCTCTGGAGTTAACGTCGTCATCGCTTCGATGACTCCGTAACATCGTAATGCCTGATAACGAAAGCGAGCGGATAACGCGCTATGATCAATTTCCTTTATTGAGTTTGAGTATGGATTTTAGTATGGCAGGGAAAATGTGCAGTCATCTAACGGCGCCTCTATAGGCAGGTAATTGGCCTTAGTATTTGGAACCGTTGGTCACCACTATGTCACCGTTCGATCGGCGCTCCACTGGACTTGGCTGTAACGCGATGGTGTTGGTTAGGCTGTTTTAAGGGCTCCGCAAATCCGATTACACGACAACTGTTTATTTAAGATAAACCTACTAGATGGTGAAGTGATGGACTATCTGTGTTCAGGCCGTCACGGTTTAGTTAAGGACAGGGTGGTCCGGTACATTTACCCACTAGTAACCTTCCTTACTACACATCTGGAGTCTGGATTACAGTACTGGAATTACTCTCCTTACCCGTAAGACAGTTGGATTGCATAGTTACTGAATGTTACCAACGTCTTCTTGAATTCCTAACTTCATGTCTTTGATATGGTCATACATTCTATAACATAGAAACTGGAGAGTCAGAGGATTAAGGAAGTAATATCGTTTGGATCCAGGGAGTCCATTTCACAAGATGAAAAATGATTGAGGGACTTTATGTAACGTATGCAATAACTGCTGAATATTTCTCAGTGGAAATCATCAAATATTAGTGTGAAACTCGAACCCGATGTTTCCATTGACTACATCCGGGTTATTTTGTTAGAGAGTTCCGAAACATTGGTGGGATGGTGATGATGACGTTGTCAAAACAACCGGTACTAGGTACCAACAGTGTAATCACTAAGAGGGTCGAGCCACGTATGTGTTTTAATTACTTATAATCAATTGCATTTTATTACTGCGGAATTTACGCTACAGTTGGTCCGTCTGTTATGTTGAAATCCAGTTTGGGTGTAATAAATCAAATTAACCTCACTTTCAAAGTAAAAACTCGTCTAGTTATCAACATCAGGACGTACCATTACTTTGTATGGTTATCTCGTGAGAATCGATGACGTCGCAGCTTGGACGTTTTCTGGAATGATAAAATGTTTATACCAATCATTTGTAAAGAGATGTGGGAATATCTAGCTGACAACTGAACATTTTTGGTACAGCAGCGATATATTATACAGTGAATTACCAACAAAATGATATCATTCGGTATGAAAATTCTACCTTTCGATTGTGGTTTTTAATGGAAACTAAGGAGAGCAAAGTACCGGAACCGGAAGAAGATGTGAAGAAAGATGAGGGTGTAGTTGAGCCACCCTCTACGGAGGGGGTCCCAGGATTAGATGATGACTCCGGGGGATATGGGGCGGGGTCAGAGAGCACTATATCCAGTGGGATAGGGACGGGAAAGAGCTCGGAGAATAGCTCCGACACAATGTCTGTGAGTTCCGGTGGAACTGTTCAGTCCGTGCCGACTTCCGGGAAAGTTCTAGGTCTTTGTCAGAGGGGTGAATGGATGGTACTTGACCAGCATTTGAGGACACTCCAAAAGGGTCACACCGACCTCTCACAACAGGACGAGGTAAAGCATTTTTCAAAGATTTTTTTCTATCTTTCATTAATTTGTTTTAATGTTTTGGAAGGTGTGTGGAGTAGAGGTGTGTGGTGTTTCTTCGTTGTCGAAATGACCCGGGCCACAATGTCCATTTCTTTGTCTAACTTTGCACTACTTCAAGCGATACTAATACCAGACTGTATTTTAAATACATGAATCATGACTAGATTCAAAAACAGATATATTCTTAATGCTGATGAATATCTAGAAGCTATGCTATATTCAGTTTCTTTGATTTAGGATTACACTATCCCATGAAAAAACACATTTAAATTTCAAGTGTTATATTATAAACTAGGTTGCTATGATTTGGATCTCGAGTCCGATCTTGTGTTGATATGGTAACTCAAGTGTACCTACTCGAAGCAGGAGGTCGGTCAAAATCGGTATAATTATCACATCAAGTTTTGACCTGTTGTGATAAGCAGATAGAATATTGCGCTAAAACTTTCAATAGAAATTGATATATTCTCTCAATATTTTCTTTTCAAATCGATCCGTCCGTCCGTCGTTCCGTCCGATAGGATTTCCAAGATATATTTCAGACCTATTGATGATTAATTCCAAATCGCATTTTTACAGCATCTTTCTTAGCGGGAAAAATAAGGGTTAGCATTTTACAGATAATCACTGGATATTTGTCTTTTCTCCAGATAATTCTCGTATTCGGTGGATGTTTGCAATTAATTAGGTATTTGTATACTTTGATATATTAATAGGATACTCTAGGTAGATATCCAGTAAAATTGTCGTTAGGCCTAAGTATGACTTGGTTTAACAGTGTAAATCTACCGCGGCTTGCAGCCATTCCTACTATGTAACTGTTGCGCTTTCTGACCTGGTAATATTGAGTAGATAAAGGAACAATTACGCAATTAGACAAAATGACGATACTACGAGAAATAAATGGATTTAATCAGTGTTATTGGCGGTATAGGAAATTAAGTAGTGCTTGTAAGTTATCCTATTGTTGGTTTGTATGAACGCTTTTTAGGCTAAACGTACTCAGTACGCATAGTCTATTGCTACGGCCTTTCAGACAAAATTTACCGATCCTGGCCTTCTCATTGGCTGAAATATCGAAAAGAGTTAGAGCCTTCTAGCGGCAATTTTCTGCGTAAATAATGCCGCGATCTTTCAAATCGCTATTTTAAAAGCATCCAAAATTAGTTTATTTTTTAATAACAATACGATTACTATATATTTCAAAAAAGAAGCACAGTGTGGTTGAACTATTGATAAATTTTGAACAATATATTTTACGGAATTCTCAACATGACGTAAGCGTACAGAACACTGTACGTGCGAGTTGATAAGAAGCTAGTCTGGGGGCTTGGTTTGAATTATCAACTAACAGCACTTATAAACAAACAAAACTTACAAACAGAACATCAATTTTGTTTTAATCCTTGTCGTTGTGGCAAGATCGTCTTATTATATAACATCACTTTATCTCAGTAGACGTCACCGAATTGGACTGTTCGTCCCACGCGCACACCCGCCGATATGACACTTTTTTCAGGTTTTTCACACCCACCGCCATTACACTTTTACAAGTTTTTGAAGATAAAAAGTTTGCGCTTCGTAGGCAAGGTACATTTGGTGCTCATGATTTATGAATAATATATTTTTAATACTGTACTGATCATGATGTTGACTCTGTCATAACTTATATTTTTTGTCTTTTAGTTTTATTTGATGAAGGTTGATTGTGCTGATTTCTCAAAGTTTGTTAATGTGTATCAAAGTTCCTTGAATTGAAAATATTCCTTCAAACAAAGCGCTTTTTGAAAAAAAAACAAAATATTCATTTTTATAATTATCAATTAACTAGAACGAAATATTTCCATAACATATTTATTCATTTAGCGTGTCATGGTGACATTATCTAATGCATTGGAGATCAGAAATAGTAGTAGCTATAGTGAAAATATTGTAAATTTTGTGTATATATATGGAAGTCTGGTTTAATCTCAAAGAACTATGTCTTTATAGACATAATTACTGCACGAAAAGTCTAACCATGATACTTCTAGGAAGATAAGAATGTAAATACATTTAATGTAATTACTTACACTTTAATCTATCTGAAATGATGTGTACACCTTATCTACTTTCCTCAACTACAAATATAATTACAATAAGTAAGGACTATTACTTTGCAATACATTCAAAATAAAGAAGTAGGTATAAAGTTCTTTCGATTTGTCTAAATCCTCATATTGATAGGATAGAATTTGCAACATCTTGGGTATTTCAAAGGTTTTATTTAGTCAACTTCATCATAGAGCTATTAATCATTTGGCTTGTTGACGATAAATATATGGTTGTGTGTATTTTGTTATTTTTTTTACCTATTTTGATTTGTTCACATTATTGTCGTCAAATTTGAAATAAGAATTAAAGAAGATATAAAATCGCTTAAAATTAAGAAAAATAGCCTCTGGTTCTCTTATTTTAGTAATTTTTGCACTCCAAAGTGTAGGAGTATGGGGAAAGTAATATAGCTTTGCGGTTATTTGTGAACATTTTTCAATACGTTTAGCCTTTCAGAACTTTCAGTACTTTGATTACCGTTTGGTTCCTGGAACATTAAACAATTGTTCGAGAAATGACGTTTTGGTTATGTGATATTTCAGGTACATTTTCATGAATATTGTTTCTATATTCATATTTACCTGAAATTAATGTTTGAAAAAAAAAACAGTAAAAAAAACGAGAAGGATTCATAAGCCGCCATACAGTAAATACACTGTAAATCAAGTCACGCAGTTACAATAAACTTTGAAGATACAAGAAACCATTTTTTGATTACTTACGGCAGAGATGTATCTCTGCTTACAGTTGTTTTCTAGAAACATTCACAGCAGGCGATAAGAATCACGTCAGCTCGATCTTCAACAGCACAAGTCGGGGATGTCCGTGAGCAAATTCCGTAAAATATATTGTTCAAAGTTTATCAATAGTTCAACCACACTGTGCTTCTTTTTTGAAATATATAATAATCGTATTGTTATTTAAAAATTAAGCTTATTGTGGATGCTTTTAAAATAGCGATTTAAAAGATCGCGGCATTATTTACGCAGAAAATTGCCGCTAGAGGGCTCTAACTCTTTTCGATATTTCAGCTAATGAGAAGGCCAGGATCGGTAAATTTTGACTGAAAGGCCGTCGCAATAGGCTGTACGTACTGAGTACGTTTAGCCTAAAAAGCAATCAAAACATTTTCCGCCTTAACTTTTTGTATTTGCGTACTTGACATAAATTGTTTCACTTGTCGATGTAGTCATAACCGTTGGAAGGTATGACGTGGTGGAGGCAGGAATTTGAGAGGTGGGGGTGGGGGCGGGGGCGGTGAGTTTTACCTGAAATGATTCTGGAAGTAAGCTGAGAGCTGAGATACTTCACGCGGATGTAGTTACCTTGGATAAAAGTAAACTGATGAATTAATAATCATCATTTTCCTCTCATATCATTGTAGAACTGTTCTCATTGTCCTAAATCTACAGTTGATACAGAAGAACAAAAAATAACCACAGTTGATGCCTTTTTAGATTACGATCGATAGGAGAAGGGGTTAACTGCTTTAAGTATTTCTTGTTTACCGGGTAAGCAATATCGTGCATGGTTAGATATTATAAAACAAGAAATATGAATACTACAGAATCGATTTTATCGGTAAACAATGTATTTCAATAGACACATGAGATTGGTATTATATAATCTGTTTCACTCACAATCATTCAGTTTCTATAGATGTAATCAGCTTTAGACTATACTATAAATGAGAATGTGTATTTATTTTCCTTCGGACCAAAAGTTAACGGGAATGACATATTCTGTTGCTCTCAATCAACATCTGTAACAAAGATAATGGATTCGACATCACTTAATGTTTTTACCAAGTCTAACATATCTATAATTCGATAGAACTGCTAGCGTTTTCGCTAAAAAAATTAAACTCGATTATAACAGATAACAATTATTTAAATTCATATTCCTAAGTCAACTTTTTAAATATTTCTCTCATGCTTTTCACAGTTTCAAACCAACTGTTGTCTTTTTCAGCTGGCCATCATCAGATGGTGAGCTATTCATATCGCCCGTTGTCTGTCGTCAGTCCTGACGTCCGTCCTTAAAGAATTTTTGTTATTGCTATTTCTGGAGAAGCAGTGGATGGACCATTTTCAAATTTCACATGTGATCTTAGTCCCTAGTTGTGCATAGTCCTTTTTGGGATTGAGCGGAAAAAACAACATTTCCGACACGTTGTCATCCTAGATTTCGATAGTTATAGTTGGTTATCGCTATTGCAGGAGAGGAGCACGTGATGTTACATTCTCAAAATTTTACATGTAGGCTTATCTTAGTCCGTGGTTGTACCCTTTTGATTTAGGGTCTGATTCGAAAAACCAAATGGCAGATGGGCGGCCATCTTGGATTTTTACTGTGAAAGTTTTTTGTAGCTATTTCTTGAGAAGGACTAGATGAATCTTTCTCAAAGTTCATATAAAGGTTCCCGTGGGTCCATAGTTGTGATATTTTTATTTTAAGTCTGATCAGAAAAACAAAATAAAAAGAAGGAACGACGAAAGATTCAGTTTTCTAAGAACAAATGAAGATCAAACGGTGGGCGTCAATATCCCTCTTGGAAACCCTGTTTCTTTCCGGATTTGAACATGATGTAATGATTTAGGAGATGTGTGTCACCACAACATTTGACGGGGTTGAATATTGCTGTCTCCGCTCTGATTACGTGTTCTACAAAACAAACATTGTTATATGTGTCGTATTAAATATGTAGACTGTAGTGTTGTTTGTAATTGATTGGGCCTCGCTTATTGCCATCGCTCAAAGGAATTAAACTACTCGTATTTCATATATATCATATGATCCCAACCATTAATAACGAAAGGACAAAACACCCATTAGAGCCGGCCGAGGGTGGCATCCAAACATTAAAACAC